CCTAGCCTCTCACACTAGAATTCAAAAAACTCAAGCTCCCGCGATTTTTGGGTCCTTATGCATAGAGCCAAAATAAAAAAATGCAATTGTAGTGTGTGTGTGTGTGTAGGTTGGTGCGGGTGTGGTGCGGGTGGTGCAAATGGTGTGTGAGGTATGATTCTTGGCTTGTACAAATGCTAGCCAAGAGTGAGTTTGCCCCTTTAGACTATTGTCTTCTTTGAAGACGATGAATAGTACCAGCGGGGTTAGAGTTAGCATGCTTGGAATGTTATTTGACTGATTCAAACAACGGGTCATTTGAGTGATCTTGAATTGATCTTGTCATTCGCATCTTGTGTCAATTTTGATCCCTGTAGACTTAGTTCTCTTTTGATTGTACTATTTAGATGCATCATTGTAGTCCTTGTGCTTTTAATTTTTTCAATTGGGCTTGTGTATCTTTTAATTTCGGTTATAGGGCTTTCACTTGTTCCAATTGTATTCTTAATTATTTCGGTTTCGATTTGATTTTATTCAATCATGTCCCTAATCAATCATTCAATTTTTTGTATTTTGTATCTTTATATTTTTTTGTATTTTTTATTTTTTTATAATAATAAATATTGAAATTAAACCTTAAAAATATTAGAAAATAAAAAAAATAAATAATGATAAATAAAACATAAAAGGAAAAAATTAGAGAAATAAATATAACCCAAAATTTGGGTTATGATAATTGTCATAAATAACTAAAAATCAATCTTCGATAAAAATTATAAATTGAGATTTCGATAACTTACCTTGCAAATAGGACTAGCTGAAAAATTACTTGGAGGGGTTGGAATGATTGCTAGCAATACTATAGATTACATAGTTATAATAATATTATGTATAAATAATTAATATCATAGTTCATATAACAACTAATTATTTATGGCTTAATGTTTCAAAAAAATTATGAAATATACACGTTTTAATAATTTTAACTCGTTCTTTAAAAATTATATATAAAGGTCACCAACTAAGCATTCGTTAACAATACTAACACCGATATGATTTTCGACCAAAATTTTGATCAATGCTAACATGGCAACCGACGAATCATAACATGTGGACTTTAACAAGCCACGTAGAATCCACGTAAGCATGACACATGGACTTTAGCAAGGCACAAAGAATCCATGTTATTGATTTTCCATGTCATTACTTACATGAATCGTACATGGCTTGTTGAAGTTTACGTGTCTTGCTTACGTGGGTCGACATGTTAGCATTGACCAAAATTTTGGTCAAAAAATTAGATTGGTGTCGCTAGTATTGTTATCGTAAGCTTAATTAGTGACCTTTCTATATAATTTTTAAAGAATGAGCTAAAATCATTAAAAGGTGTATAGTTCATGATTTTCCGAAACATTAAACTATTATTTATCTATATCAAACAAATTTGATCAAAAATTAATTTATCAAGTTTTAAATCTTAAGTTCAAATAATCCGATGTTATGTAAATTTTAAATTAACACTTTAATTTTAGATTTAATCTGTTATTTTAAATCAAATAAAATAATTATCAAATGACTTCACCTATATTTTTAATTATTGTATAACCAATTACATAAAATTTAATCCTAATTTATCAACACTCAAACCTAATTAATTCAAAATAATTTTATTAAATTAAAAATATACTCAATTAATTTTTAAATAACATAAATTGAGTTTCTTAACATATTTACAAATAATTAATTACATATATACAAATGGTTAAATTTAAAACACCTAAAAAAATAGTAAAATCAAGAATAATACATAAAACTCACACAAATTAAATATAAAATATGAAATAAGACAAATAAATATACCTAATTGAACTTCTCTTTCGGTAGAGAAAGGGAGAGAAACACACAAGGCAAAGCTCACCCAAGACAAAGGGGATACTATAATTGTTTTCGGGAAAAAAAATCTGTTGGTGATGGAGAGTGGAGGAGTGGTCTTTGTAAGGTGTTTTGAGGGCGTGTTGTAGGTGACAACGTTAGGTGTAGATGGTAATGACAAGAAGAGGAGATGGAATGAGGAAGAATAAAATGGGGAAAAAAGAGAAATTTGCCAATTTAGGAATTTAATTCTTGCGACGGATGTAACTCCGTCGCTAATCCATCGTTAATCAATCCCTAATCGACGACGGACTTAAGTATCCGTCACTAATTTTGATCAAGAAATAGCGACGAGTTTTGTTTTGTCACTAATTGGTGACAACTTTAGCAATTAGTGAAGGAATCCCTCATTAACCATTACATAAAAATTAGCGAAGGATTTAAGTATCCGTCATTGAATTTTCTTACCAATCCATAGTTAATCCGTTGCTAAAACAACGAGAGAATATTTTACGAGTCATATTTAACGACGGACATTGTTCGTCACTAACCATCCATCGGAAAGTGGTCAATAGTCCGTCGCTAAATCCTACATTCGACAATTGTTCACTATTTAACAATAGATTTAAATCCGTCGCTATTTGCTTGTTTTTTTAGTGCTTTATTTATTTTTTCATCATTCCTGCTTTTTTTATTGTCATTATATTAATAATTTATAGTTTATCTTATTTGACTTGGATGTTTGATGCTATTTTGTAAGTGGTTGAAATTTTAGAATGGAATTTCCTACTCTTATCAAAATAAAATGATGAATACATAGAAGATTTAATTCATGACAAAAATAATATTTAAAAAGCACAAAATCATAAACTTATTTTTATATTAGAAAAATAATTAGGTTTTTCATCTGTAAAACAGATTAAAAAGACAAAAATTTATTCTAAAAAAATTAAAAACCAAATAATATGTATTTTTTAATTTCGATGAATTTAATCAACCAAAAACCTAACTAAATTTATTAAAATCAAAACCAAATAACCAAATACTCGCCCCCTCATTGTACATATGTCTCAGGACTTGCGAAATCAATCACTCGGCTATTTCTAAAGGAAGTTGGGCAACGTCTCACTTACATGCTCAATATAACGAAGGCTTGGGCCCTCCATTGATCAGATGATTGTTGTTATGATCCAGAAAACATGAGCTCAAAATAAAAGTCTGAGACTCTCAGTAGAGTTGGTGAATGTTGCTCTATGGACCAAAACTGAGCTAAAATCTATGCTAATTGCTAAATGGGACAGCCTGCCAGAGACTATGAACACTGGAAATAGTAGTCTTCAGGCCATCAAATATGATAGTCTTGAAAAACTGAAGCCCAGTGACGGTAGATGGAGCTAAGTTTTCATAACACAAACAAAATAGTTTCTTACATGCATTATCTCAGAAAGTTTCACGTTTATAAAAAATCTCATAAGATTCACACGCCTAGGTTTTTTTATTTCTTACGAAGTGCTTGATAGATGGCCCCTTATATATTAAAAACTATATACCCTTTCAACCTAAATTATCTTACATCAGATTTTTGTTCCTTTTTTTTATTAATTTATGTCTGGTTCTTAGAATGAAATTTATTTAAAGTTTGATCGAAAACAAATCCTTTAAAAACTCCACCGATATATTAACTTACTATCATCATAACGTTGAGTTTTTATTTTTTATTTTGTCAGTTAATAAAGAATTCAACTTGGAGATTTTTTAAGAAATAAATACTAAACAAACTACAAGACAACATAAATATTTATTTATTATTATTTTTTGGATTTTACGATCAAAAAATCATTAAATCAGTTTTCAAAGAAACTAAATATTTGTTTTCATGGTGCCAAAAGCAAATTATTAGCGCCGGCAGGATGAGGAATTCATACTCCGAGTTGTTTTTGCTATCTAATTGTCATATTAACACCATCCATAATATTACCATGGTCACCATCATCCATCCATAATGGGCCACCAAGTCCTACCATTTGCTTTGGGATAATCACTCAGAATCAATACAACTTCCAGGCAATTGGAATGGAGGATCGCATGCAGATCTTATGAGGCAAAAAAAAAATCAATATATAAGTATTACAAAAGATGGAAACTTTACAACCTCCTTGGTGAAGAAGATATGACAACTTCAGGAGAACTTCGATCCAATTACAAGAACAGTCACTTGATAACAAAGCTGAGGAGAAGCTTGTACAAGATTTACTTCCCTTCCCTACTTATTCTATGTACATCAATACATACATTCCGCCAGTCAAAGTCTTAATTCAACGGCAAATCAAGGCCATTAAATCATGAATGGAGTCGGAGAGAATGCTGGAATTACATTCAAAACGTGATTTCGCCTGGAAAAAAAATCATGAAAACGATTCAATTAATTAAGGAAAAAAAAACTCTTAGAAATTCACATACAATTACAAAATATTGCACAAAAAATATATTTTGTGACAGATTAATATCTTAAACTGTTTTCTCCTTTTCCTTTCATCATTAAGACCATATATGAAGCAATCACTAAACTTGTTTTTTCCTTTTTTTTTCTTCATTTATTTGATTGCCTATTTAAAATTGAGGTTTTTAAATATATAACGATCACCAATCCTGAACCCACCATATATAGCAAATTGTATTTTAAAATTGTTAATCATTGTCTATTATTGGTTAATCTGTTAGCCTTTTCATTACAAAAATTATTTTGAAAACTAATCAACACCAAAAATTGCTCCACTTACAAATAAAAGAAACCAAATTATTACAAATACGGTATAAATATATTTATACGCAATATACACATGCAAAAGGTCTATTGTATGATCATCCGTATCATTTTTATACATTCATTGTACCCCTTGATATTGTATAGCAATAAATAAACCAATTATAGATCCCTTATTCAAGAATTATATATATAATGATTACTACATACACAGAACTAAATCTTGCATCAGTAATTTTAACCTTTTGAAGACCTAATTCATTGGGTTGATAAAGCCGTTTATTGGGTTAAACTTTTCGTGTAATGATTTAGGAAAGCAATGTTCGATACAACACGAAATTTTGTTGGTTCTAACTTACAACACGAAATTTAATACAACCAGCAGTTACCTGTAATTGTCAACGTAACCAGAAAGGCTCGCTATATCACGGACCCTACTGCCACCATCAACATCATCACCACCGACACCGACACCGACACCACCTTTCCTTTTAATCACCCTTTCAACTCCTCTCTCCCCCACCGCCACCACGTTATTCTCCGATATGGCGCTCAACGTTGGCTTCCACTCAACCCCAGGATTGTTATTCCCTGCAGTCGAAAACCCTCTTCCTCTCTTCTTCTTCCTATGATCTTTCCTCACCGCCACCAACGCACGTGTCTCCTCCTCCGACTGCCTCCCCACACTTTCAGGGACATCCTGTCCACCACCACCCCCGCTTGGGACCCCACAACAAGACACTAATTCTAACAAAAACTTCATGTAATAATATATAAAATAACCTTGAAAATATTTTTGTTAGTTATGTTCAAGAAAATAGAAAGAAAAGAGAAATCAGGAAGATAGAGTCACCATTATGATGGTTATGAAGTTTTTTGAGTTTTGGTTTTTTTATAGAGGGAGGAGAGATCTAATGGAGAGCATTTGTGGCCTTGTTTGGCTGTTTTAAAAATTGGGCATGGATTTTGAGGTTACTACGAGAATACCCCTTCATTTTATTACATGAGTGGCTCTGGCTGCGGGTCATCCGTCTTTATTGGGAGACAGTGGGATTTGTTTTGGATAATCTGGCGTGGACTGTATTTTCCACTCCACACGTTGTGGAGAGAGATGCTTTAATAGTAATTTGGATTTGCCGTTTCTCCAATTTTTTTTACGTAATTATCTTAATTTCAGAGCTAGTCATCCGGATCAACAAGAGATAAATTTTATCAAATTTCAGGAGTGCATATATATATATATATATCGTTAGTTAATTTTCTAATCACATAGCTGAAAATTTTCAAATAATGAATTTAAAAAAAAAAACTTTAATCAATTATTTCTTAGGCTTATATTAAGGAGACATTTGAAATAAAAATTTTTTTAAAAAAATTATCTTCCTAATCTATTGTATATCATGAATTACTTGGTTTCTATTGTTATTTTTTATTTAATTGTTGGAAATGGTATAACTAACGTGCCTTTGATTACAACCCTCGTGGAATTTACTAGTATGCGAAATTATCCTTAAACTAATAATATAAATGTGTGGATGAATGATACTATTATCTTAATTGGTTAAACAATATAATTAAAAAGGAGAAATGACAAAAAAAAAAAAACGATAAAAATGTCAAGAAATTGTGAGTTTTTGGATCATAATCTTAACGCATGATTCAATGTACATGGACTTAAATTAATCTAATAAATCATGTGTATTTTTTTTTTAAAAAAAAAAAAATTAAAACGAGGTCTAAGCCCTAGAGATTCTATGGACACATACGAACGTAGAGTTGAAACTCCACATGTCTTGGAAAATTAAATTGATACATTCGACATAATTTTTTTTGGAAAAATAGTAATTTTAAAAAAAATAAATAATAAGTACGATTTACAAACCAATACACATCTGCGTATCGAAATTTTTTTAATATTTAGCATCACAATAAAAAGAAATGAATCATTTGTAATTCTTAGCTTAGTATTCGGTACTTCTGAAGTAGAATTTACCTATCTACTTGTAATTTTTCTTCTTATTAAGTGTTGATTCTTCTCCTCGATCTCAAAAAATTAAAGACAAGTTTATACTCTCAAAAAAATCAAAAAATAATACTGAGCTAGTAAAATATACAATTTATAATTCGTTGTATCTCCCACGTTGACTCGAGAGTCACGATGCCTGTCCCCACCATATGCGCAATTGCAGTGATAGATCAAAGAAGATTGAGTTGAATATCATCTACTTGATATTTGTAGCTGATGAACCACTGAAAGTTTGGTTTTATAGCAACCTTAAAAATTTTATGATAAAATTTTAGATGATTTTGATTGAATTCTATCCAAAGCTTATTAGACAAAGTCTTGAGAGGGATGAGATGGGAATTTAGAAATCCTAATTAAAGAGCTACTACTCCAAGACCAATCAAGTCTCGTGTTGAAAAAAGGAAGAAGAAAGAAGAGTATTAGTACCTCATTATTCTCATAAATGTTAATGGGTTTGATAATGGTAATGACACATACCTATTGCATAAAAAAAGAAGCACACATGTTAATAATAAAAAGGTTATGGCCATCTAATCATATATTATTACAATTTGAAACCTTGCTTGATTTATTAAACACGGTGTTGACCTCGAAACCTTGGGAACTAGTACCGTCATAAATGCAGCAAACTAACAACACAACTTGTCATACAAATTACATGTGTAATAATAATAAAACATGAAATTATGTAGGTTAATAGTTTGAAAATATTGAATTTTCAAATATTTTTATAATTTCATACGAGTTAGTTAGTTAATATATAAAAATTCTTGAAAATTCATCTAATAATAATAATGTTTGATGACATCATGGTGATAGACACTATTTTCAAAAATATAAAAGTTTTAGAGGTAAATTTAGAAAATGAAAATCTTAAATGACATAATATTTATTGAAGTAAAGTAAACACTACTCTTATAAAATTATGATGATTTTTTTTTTTTTTTTGACATCACTAATATCATGTAGCACTACTCCTAAACTTTTAAATATATATTATTTTTTGACATTTATTGTTTCCTTTTAAATGATAAACAATATATATATATAGATATATCAACATTTGTGTTATAAAATTTAATAAAAGTTTCATATCAAAAGTTGGATAAAAGATTAAAGTCAATAATTAAGGGGTTGCGCCACAAACGATCGAAGTTAAATTGATTTTCAATCAAGCTGACCTTTTTTTTTTTTTTTTTTTTTTTTTTTTTTTGTTTTTTTTAATGTGTGTGCGCGCGCGCCTTCATGGGTTATCTACTCACATAAGCACCTTATCATTTAATATCTCTATTAGAAAATGACTAAGATGCTCCTACCACATACATACGCATATTAATCCTAACGTGTACCTTTCTGATATCCAAATGAATAGTTTGCTTGCAAAACCAAGTGGGTCACCTACTTTTAATCAAATATATTAAGTGTCCACATGACCCTACGGCTGCCAAATAAAGAAATCTCCTATAATTAGCCAATAAGATAGATTTCCCCCCGAAAAAAGGAAAATCCAATTGAAAAAAACAAAAAATAGGATTACAAAATTGCAAATTAATAGTATTAGAAGCTGTAATTTCTGGACTAATTTTTAATGAATCGGGTTGGCATCAAGCTGATGGTCCAATCATTGCTGACTGCTAGATAAATAATTGGTTAAATTGTAGGATCCCAGCTGGATGTCGAGGAGAAAGCTATTTTATTATAATTAAGTAGTGTTTTTCTTTTTCTTTTTCTTCTTTTTTCTTTTTTCAAAGAATATTTTTAGAGTTAATGGCTCAAACTATCCTTAAATAATAAGTTAATTCTCTAATATATCTTTATATCTATAATTGAGCCAATTTTATTCTTAAGTATATATTAAGTTTCTAATATCTATGATTTTTTACTTAAACCATCAGAATTATTTACATTATTACATACGAAAACCTTCGTTTGCTCGACTTGCAATTAAATTTTAAAATTAAAAAATAATCATGTGCAAATGACATAATTGATTCCAGTAATTTGGTCCGAAAACCATATCAAAATAATAAATTAAAAATTTTATGTATATTCGGGAATAAAATTGACTCAATTAACGATTTAAAACTAGATTAAAATATTACATTATTATATAAAGATAGATTGAGCTATTAACTCATATTTTTATGTTTAAAAGGTTGGATTTAGTTCTTGATAAAAATAACCTTTTAGCAAACTAAATAATTAAATAACTTCTCATTGGTCATTGGTGTCCACATTACTCCTAAATAAACTTTGGCTTTCATATTTATGAGTGATAAATTCCCTCAATTAAGAACACTAGGCTGTGATGGATCAACTAACACTCACATCACCATCATAACTACCAAACTTTGTAAGGCTACGCTGGCTTCTACAATTAAGTTTTGCATACATGAAATCGATTCATCTTTTACATTTCAATCAAAAATGTTTGGATAAAATAATTATTTGACTGAAAAAATGAATCAGAATGATAAATTAAATATTTTAAATATTTTTATAAACAAATGAGATATAATTAAAAAAATAAAAATGAATAGAAAATTTTAAGTATTATATAAAGATAAAGATATATTTACTTTTAGTATAAATGGAAAAAATCAAAGTTAAAAGCAGCACTGTTTTTCAGTAACTATTAGTATTGACTTTAAATCCCCCTCTAGGTATAGTATCTTCCTTAAATGAGTAAAACTTGAACCCACACCTAAACCTAGCTAGCATCGCAACAAGTGATTTTTCCAATTAATTAATTAAGCTTAGCTGATCCCAAAAAAGAAAAGAAGCAACAGTACTTAATTCAAGACATCGTTGCATCCAAAAAACAGGTGCCAACATAGAAAGGGATGTATCGTTGGAGAAGGACAAAATGCAAAACCTTATTTGCACCACAAAATAATAGGATCTTCTCTCAAACTTGCACCTGTCTACGTATAGAAGATACTTGTTGAATATTTTATTTTCATTTTTTCTCTCTCTCTGGAAATTTCTTTTAGCCAGACACCCAGAAAACAACTAATCAAGAAACTGAAAACCCTACCGAAAAAATGACAAGACCAAAGGTCCCTGTTTTTTTGTGAAAATGCTACAACAATGTCAAGAATCGCAGACGCATTTAATTTTGTCATCTCCTGTACAGTTCCCCAGCTCCAACCAAATATAGATTTCCTCCAACCAATTTCGTCCAACTATAACTATATTATTTTTTTTGGTTTAAAGGGATGATATGGATATATTGAGGAATCCTCTGTCAGGTTACTTTCGATGCTACTCTAAATTTGTTGTGTTGCTTCGACGGGAAGGCAAATTCTTTATGTCCATTGTCCTGCTTGGAAAGTAAGGTGGCATTGCATTCATTCCTTTCTAGGCCAACTGTAGTTTGCAATTAATGGGAGAATTAGACATCTCTCATGGTTATTTCGAATTGTTGTGGTGTAGCTACGTGTTTACTTTCATCATGACCTAGACGAGATAGTGAATTACAAGTGTTTAATGTCGTGTACAAGATTACAATGGAAAGAGCCGTACCAAATGGGTTGAGTTGAAAGAAAAAAACCTGCTATAAGAAGTCAAGATGGGGACATATAAATAGAAGGTGGACCTGCAACATTTTAACATGTAGCTCCCGAACTTCAAAAATATTGCTATTCATATTTTTCTTTTTCAATAAAGTACTAAAGTAGACTCCAATTTGACATGTTTTTCTCTTTGTGTCTAGATTGGTTATTTATTTACCTAATAATTTACGTTAGGTTTTTGCGATCTCCCATTTTGTCCTCACGTCAATGCGTTATACGGGACTCGATGATGTTAGTAGAAAGCGATTGCTAGCGACACAGTAAGGTGAAAACAGAACTCCACGGTTTTTCATAGTTTATGGCCAGTGTTGTGCTCGTTCGGATGGAAATTATGAATTTAATCTATTGGCTTGATCGTAATTTTAGAATCGATTGGTTGATACTTGATAAGTAGAGATGTTCTCTCATTTACTAGGCCTTGTACATCAACTAGTTTTAACATGCATGGAGATTGCAGTCACGAAACATACAAATGGATTTACAAATACCATATCGTTGTCAAACATAAGATAGAGAAAAAAAATTAAAAGATCGTTGCCTTGATAATTTGGTACGATCATTTGTTTCTTATGGTAGTTAATTGACGTATAAAAGAAGAAAAAAAAACAATTAGAGTAACCAATTGGCGTCGCTCCCTACATATAATATTCTATCCTCGTGATTTTACTATTCCACGCATTACCTCTCATGTATATTTTATAAACAAACAAAAAAGTAAATAAAATTCAGAGTTGGCCGATGAAGAATGATCCAAAACTTCCAACTATTGCCCGCTTCTAATGACCCTAACTATTAGGGCTACTGCGAATGTTAGCCATATTTCATCTTTTGGGCTTTAGCCCCATGATAACCAGACTGCTTACCTTGAGTTCAAACTCAGTCTCAACACCATTAGTATCGATCATTTGGTACTGTTGAAAAGGAAAGTAACTAAGGACAGGCCACAAGATATTACGTTTGATCCTTAAAGAAAAAAAATAATAAAAAAAATAAATAAAATTACATCGTCCAAAGCGCTTTTAAAAAGAGGCAAAGGAAAATAAATAATAGGAATTGCAATATAACAACTCATGCAAATTCATACTTGCAGATATAATTTGATAGTATATTCTTCTACCTGAGTAAAAGATGAACATGCTAATTCTAAAAAAGGAATTCCTAAAAGATAACAAGTAGATGGGCTATTTAACAGACACCCTGGACAAAGATTGATCACACAATAACCAGTTGCATCCTGGTTTTCAGTATTACATGATGCCCCCATAGAAACAATACAGATTTTGGACGTCAGACTGTAATTTCTGTTACCAAGATAAAAATTATGAACAAAATACGAGGGAAATCGAACAAATTTTTCATTGATGCAATCAATATTTGGATAGATTTAACTTCAGTTCATGGAGTCATACTTTGTAAGGAGATGTTCACGGATAACAAATAGAGGGTTGCACAAGAAAGTCACCACATGGAACAGTTCGATATCCACAATTTTCTAATTTCACGCTGATCACTGTATGTTGATCTCCAAAATGTTTATGGTTCCAAGCTGTGAAAGAGAGAACATTAAGAGTAAGCATTCGGTTAAACGGTTCGGTTTTGTACGATTCGGTTTGGTTTTTGGTTAACCGAATTAAAAAAAATAAAAACCAAAATCGAACTAAAATAAATTCGATAAATTCGGTTTGTAACCGAATTATTTCGGTTTGGTTTCGAAATATTTCGGTTTTAACTAAAATATTTTGTTGTAAAAAAAAAAATCATTACAAAAAGATATTTTGTACTAGCACTTAGTCCACTAGCCAATGAAGTAACATCTTGTTATCAATTAATCATTTTTATAAACAATCATAAAGCTCTTGAAGATTTTAATTAAACTTTAATGAAAACGAGTCCAAATGTAATAAATTTGCTCATACAAACACGTTGTATCACAATTAATTACACTATGTCACTTTCTTTTTTTACCTCAACGGTCCTCAAAATTTACTTCCCATCTGCGTGTTTAATGAAAATTGAAAAGTTAGGGATTTAGAAATTAAAAATTTTTTTACTATTTATTTCGGTTTTCGGTCAAAACCAAAATTTTTTTCTAAAAACCGAACCGAATCGAAATAATTTCGATTTTTTCGGTTCGGTTTTATATTGTATAATTTTATATTTAAAACCGAACCAAATTTCATAATTCGATTCGGTTTTATTCGATTTTCGGTTAACCGAACCGTTTGCTCACCCCTAACCAACATAATGTCAAGCATTCATAATTGGTACTTGCTGACCATACTTGTTTGAATGACGACAAACTTGTTCTCTTGAATATAAGAGTCACTGCCAGCGGCGATCAGGACTTCCGTAGTTTCCATATCCAGGACCCGTGTTGTTCTGAGGCTGAGAGGGAGATTGTTTGGGTTTAGAATACTCTGCAAATATAACCCATCCATCCAGAAACTACACAGAGAAATCAGAAAGAGAAATTAAAACTATAACCAGAACAATAAGTGTCACAATAATCATAATCATCAACATTGTTATCGATATAGATAAATCAGTCTTAAAGAACAAACTGGAAAAAAAAATAATAAGAAGAACAACTTATTTGCGCTCTCTGAAGTAAAATTGACAGAGCAAACATAAAAAATTGCATTTATTGTTGTAGTATTGTCCAAAATATTCATTTAACAAGCAAACTCAAGCATTCACCACCAACAAACATTATACAAATTTAGCATTCAGTTGGTTATTTGAAAGCTGACCTCGGGCCATTTTCTTTCTTTTCAAGCCCTATAATTCTTAAAACCACACCCTGGGAAGAATTCCTGCACCTAATTCTTATACACAAGGTTGGTGAGGTAATGAGGTGCATTGCCATTGCCATATGGCATATTGTACCCTTGGTTGCCACATGAGCACCAAGTGGGCAAAAATGCAAGTGAACATGCATATAAGCTGATGAGATGGATTGCTTGTTAGTGGTAAAGAATTGCTGAAACATACTGAAAAGAATTCAAGGGGATATTCACAAATTATGCATTTTCCAAGTGTGGATAACAATAGCAGATATGATGGTAGAAGAATTATTCATTAGATATATATGTTCCATGTGCAACAGTGCAAGTCTCTCCATGCCTCAGTTGACAAATCTCTGTGCATGCCAACGTCACATGGAGTTTTTGTAGCTAACCCAGAGAACATTAGAAAGGCAGTTCAGTTTCATGAGGCTTCAAAATAAGAAACCACACAATCTTGTGTTTGTCTTAGTTTTCTTAGATTATTACAGGACCATTGTTTAACATTTGAGGCATCAAGATTTATTTAGTGATTTTTTTGGAATTTATATTGAGCTTTAGGTGTTGGACTTCCTCCAAAGCTTTAACCATTGCATAGCTTGTTCCAGGACTTAAGAAGCCTGTAGAACCCATATTGAATTTTCTAATGTCACTGACCATGCTTTATAAGCTACACAAACAATTGTACAGCATTTTATCCTAAGCAATTGGAAGTCATTAAAAGAATACATCCACAATCTTCTGTCAAAAGGACAAAAGTAGGGAGCCAGGTAAAACTCACCTGTCCATCCATGCCTTTTATTCCTTCTGCAGCATCTGCTAAGGTAGCATATCTAACAAAACCAAACCCCTTAGAATAACCTGAGACCCTGTCAGTTACAACTCTAGCTGTAGAAAGCAAGAAAGACAATGATTAGTAACCCAAAAAAGAAATTTTTGCAAAACATTTATGAAAAAAAGAGACTAACCGTGAACCACTTCACCAAATTTAGAAAAGGCCGCTTGTAGTCCCTCTGATGTTGTTCTTTTACTTAGCCCTGAAACCAAAATTATAGAAGCATCAAATGAAACTCCTGACATATTAGGAAGTTGACTTGATGCTAAAATTACCTACATTGAGTTTTCATAACCATTAAAAAACAAAGAAAGACAGATATTTTTGGTTTACAAGATGAAAGACAAAAAAGACTAGACTACACGACTTTAATCAATGCCTGCACTGTCATTATCCAGCAGCTCATACATCTCAGGAGGAGGGTGGTCCCAAATAACTAACTGCTCAATCTAAGTGATTTAGGGTGGGAAGATAAATCTGGAAACTATTTTATTCTTCCAAAAGCTCCTGCATCACTAAGACACACCATACTTAAAAAAACTAGTCCACATATCAATTTCTCTCCCTCAAAGAACAGACAAATCACCAAGTAATAGAGCGAGAAGCCACGTGCCTAATATCATGAACAAACCATAATAAGGATGAATGTCCCACTTTCTCTACACACCTCGTAGTTTCAAATGGAATCAATGTCAAATTGAAATATGGTAGCCCCGAGTTCATTGCCAATCAAATTCCCTACCTTATAGAGCATAGTTCTGAATACATGATGCTAACAAAACCCAACTTGCATGAAAACCCCTTGATCCATGAACCACGATGATCCTATATAAGGCCACCAGCTCCAACATTGTCACCTACTCCCTTTTGTGTTATTTTCGACCAGTAGTCGTGAGAAAATTTCTGTAAAATCAACCTCTCCCGATCATCCATCCTGAAAAAATCTACCTCAGCAACAGCCCTTTTAATCTCTTCAACTAATCTCTCTGCCAGGAAATTCCAAGTATTACATATAGATTGCATTTGTATCCCATAAATAAGCATTTTTGTGTGCCAACAAACTATGCCAGCAAACACAGAAGACCATGGCCTTCCAATTCTCATTCTTAGTCTCAGCACCCCCTTTCTATCAAACCACTTGAAGGTCATCATTGAAGGAATTCTGCAGAGACTGTTCAGAATGCCCTTCTGAACTTCCACTGCCTTGCAACAGTCCCATAACACATGCAATTTATTTCCTTCCCTCCTCCACATCTGTCACAAAGACCGCTCTCATGAAGAACTCTTTCCATCTAAGCTTTCTGGAGTCCATCCCTTCACAATAGCCATAAAACATCTCTAACTTCTCAGGGATTTTAACTCCCAAGCTCAACACAAATTATCATCATGAACAATTCCAGCATCCCTTGCAACTAAAATTAATAGCCCGCACAAGAAGTATAGGATCACCAGCTACCATGAACCCATAGAAACCCACAGACGCAAGTACATCACAATTCACAACTAATTTCCAATAAATTCTAAAGCATGTGCCAACTCTTGAAATAAATCATCATTATTTTTCAAACCTATCCTAAACAAGCATAGATTTTTAAATATATCAAATAAAATCCATCACCAATCTAGGTTAAAGTCGTACCCTACACAACATGCATATTATCATATCATATACTAGTTTTCTCATATGTCTCTAAATCCACCTTCCGTAGGTTTTCAACACCTAAAATCCAAGTAACAGTATTTTATTTTTTTATTTTTATTTTTTTGCAAATAGTTTGCGTATAACCAGCTAAAAAGCACACAATTGATTTCGACCTTCTGTGCATTTACTGGTTATTGTCGAATCACCAACAGACATCACCACAAAATTTGACGCACTAATAAACAAAGACAATAACCAAAAACACCTTCCCTCCGCTAGATAGGGTAGAAAATAAAACACCCTATCAATCTACTCATAAACACCATTATCAAAATCACAGAACTCATATCCCAATAAACAACACAAAAATCTAACTGAAGAATCTTAATTTAGAAAAAAAATCAATCAGATATCTTAAAATTTGGATCTTTCCTTTCATTTCTGCCATTATATGAACAAAATCAACCCAGTAATGATCGCAAGCAAAGCGACTAACAGTACCCAGATGGGAAATTGAAGTAACTACCAATTAAATGAAAGTAATTATAAGAAATATAAAGAAAGAGACACTTACCAGAGACAAAGAGATTGGTATTGGGCTCACCCTGTTCACGGGCAGGAGTTTGCTCTGTTGTCTGAGGAAAAGGGAAGGAGGGGGATAAACTGGAAGTTGTTGAAAATAGCCGCAGCAAAGCGCCACGGGGAGCTGCTGCTGCTACCGCAGCAAAAGCAGCCGTCGTTGATCTCATGGCCATGGTGGTTTGTTTGATTTTTAAGGGTTTTAGCTAAAACCCCTCTATTTATTCAAGGAGACAGAGACCGAAAGAAGTTTTTTTGATACTCTGGGGAAATGATGGTTTAGAAAGGAGGGCTAATGTTTGGCGTAAATTGTAATTTAGTTATTCTATCATAGTTTGGAAAGGTGAATTCGGGCTGCATTTTTTTTTATAGGATTAACTAGGTTTTTTAACTGCATTATGTTGCAGGTTAAATAAAATATATAAAATTATTTAAAAAAATTATTTTAAATTAATAATCTATTTTATGATAAAAAATAATTATAATTTTTTAATCAAAAATTTTATAGTTAACTATTTCTTATTTGTTTTTTGAAATTTTAAAAATAAATAATAAAAAAAATAAATTATTGGTTTTTTAAAATTTTAATACCCAATTAATTATTATTTCCTTTAAAATTTTAACACCTAATATTATTAAGAAATGAAAATTAAAAAAAAAAAAAAAGGGGCAAGCCTTTTACGGTTCATGTGAACGAGTAAACGAAAAAAAAAAAGGAAGGTAGGGGGAGGCCGAGAGGGTGCTTGGCTAAAAAATAATAATAATAATAAATAAAAATTAAAAAAAAAAATCAAAGTACTGTAGCAATGAACATTGATTAACATTATTCATTGCTATAGTGAAAAACCGTTTTCCTTTAGTTTATAGTGTAATTGCATAAAATGTACTTTTATTTTTCAGATTTTCTTAATTTTCTTAATGAGGTTCTTTTATTTTTTATTTTTTTATTTTTTTTACTCTCAAAAGTTTCATAATGTATTTTCTTTAATGGTTTTATAGTTGATTTTTCAAACAAAAGTGACACGTGGCAAAAAATATCGTGTGTCCGACATGTCATATTAATTTTTTGATGAAAAATAATAATAATAATTTTTTTGCTGAAAATAAAAAAGAATAAAAAATAAGATATAGAAACGCTTTTTTTTGCACTTTCTCTCTCCAAGGCACTTGATCTAACCATAAAAACCATTCCTTCCTTCTTCTTTTTTCCTGTTTTTGAGATTATTTTCTTACCATTAAGTACCAAACTATTCTACTCCAATTTTTCTTCTTCTCGTCTCTCTTATACCCCAAAACCCTTAATTCTTCTTCTCATCCATTCAAACCTTAAAACATATAATTCGAAATCTCAACAATCACTAATTTTACGAGAAATCAAAGAGAGTTAAAAATCGTGAGCTATGTTTGTCTCTTCTAAACATTGTTGTTTTATGATTCTTCCTCTCTTTATGATTGAATCATGATAAACTGATAAGAAAACAGTGAAGGAATATTGAATTTTTCATCAAAAAAATGTTAGAATCTTATTTGTCTTTTATTGTCAATTTATGTTTTTTATATGAGTTTGACACTCTAGTGGTCCCGAATATGGAAAGAGACAATTTTATTAGCATTGTAATAAATTATTGTTTTGGAACCTTCATTGTCATGTATGGTCTAGTTATAGTCAATAATGACAAATTAGCTTTTGTATTTATCCTTATGTTTTATGCTTTCTAATAGATTCAGATATTGATCTTTCTATTTTGTGCTTTGTTTATTATTTTTTTAAAACTTTTTTTTTTAATTGATAAAGACATTTGGTTTGTATTTGGGTGGGTCTATTAAAAGGTCAGTGGGGCCAATAGGTTTATTGATTTATTACATTAGTGGATCTATGTTTGAGAAGTATAATGTTGAGCCAAAATTGTTGTGTTTTAGGATCCTATTAAAATTAGTAAAAAATTTGGTAAAAAAGATATAGTTTTTGTGTATTGCAATGACCATGTTCCTATACCATATTCTAAAAACCTTGTTTATTAAATTAATTCATGATGATAAAAACTTTATTGGTTTGTTAGATTTGACATAGAGTGGAAGGGTGGACATTTATTACGAACATGGATGTGCAAGAAACACATTACTTAGTGAGGGTAATCCTTCAAGAATATGTAAAAAGCTACGCATCATAGACCATGGTGATAGACTAGATTTTGAGGATAAGAATGTTAATAGCAAAGAAGAAGATGTTGAAGAATTACTTGTTGTTGGAGTAGTAAGCGAGGAATTACTTAAGGATATAAATGTTTATAGTAAAAAAAATAGCAGTTGATGAATTACCTAATTTTAGGAATACTAATAGTAAAGAAATAGCGAGTTGGTGATTTAGTTTGTTTTTGTGGGTGGAAGTGATGTTAATATAGGTGATGAGAATGTTGAGAAGTCGAGAAATTTGATAATTTTAGATAATGAATGTATTGAAAATTATGGTAAATAGGTATTTGATTGTTAGCATTATCTCGATGATGGAAATGATGAGTAATAAGATGTAAGAAATTAATCAAAAAAAAAAAAGCTAATGAGAACGAAAGGAGTGGTGTAAATTTAGGGGAAAATGAAGGTAAAAATTTGAAGTAAAATGAAAATGCAAATAAGGAAGGAAATAGAAATGAAAATGAAGATGATGAAATCTTAAATGTCCTTATGAGAAAGGTTGCAAACCTAAAAAGAAATTATGAATATGACTTTTATACAAGAGTTAGCATAGATAGCAATAATGAATATAATGGTGAAGAGTATAGAAGAATAAGGAAATTTAAGAAAATATTTTTCAATCCTAACATACTTTATCCATATTTTCAATTTGGAATGATCTTTCTCAGCAAGGGACATTTTATTGATACGATTACTAAGCATGCTTTGAAGCATAAGAAAGATGTTAAACTTGAGAAGGATGATTGAAAAAAGGTTAGAACACAATGTATATATGCGGGTTTTTCTTGAAAGTTATGTGTTCTTCACATGAGAAAACTAGAAACTAGATGGTAAAGAAATTTCACCCACAACATACTTGTAGTATTGTTTTCAAGAATAGTAGGTTGAGTTGTAAAGTTCTTCGTACTCATTTAATTCATAAGTTTAGTAGATTTTGTTTGAAAATGACTCTCAAGGAAATTGTTGAAGTAGCTAAAAAGGATTATGTTATGGGGATCTCATATACACTTGCTCAAGCACATAAATAATTAATGCACACAAGAGATATATGGTAATGCTAAGTTTGAATTTGGTAGATTTAAGGATTACACTCGTTGAATTAAGGATAAGTTATAAGAGAAGTAGTGTTTTTCTTAAATGTGAATAGGATTTCAAAAGGTTTAAAAGAATTTATGTATACTTTAAAACATTGAGAAATGATTTTTTTATAAGGTTGTAGGTTTAGATGATTGCTTTCTCAAATGGCATCTTAAGAGGAAACTTTTAGTGGCTATAATGAGGGATGCAAACAATTAGATATTTTCTCTCTATTGAGTCGTTGTCATAAAAGAACAAAGAAAATATGAAAAATGGTTCGTATTTTAAATAATGGCTAATATAAACATTATAATGAGTCTTGGAGGTGGATGGACCTTTATCTTGGATTCACATAAGGTGATGTATTATTTCAAATATTTTGATTTTATTAGTTATTAATTAAGTTTACTAAGTTTTTTGAATTTTTGAATTTTTAGATTTAGGGACTACTTAGTGTTATATTAGAGTTGTTTTCTAGTGTAAAACATAGAATATATGCTAGATACATCATTGTTAACTAGAGAAAGCCCACAAAGGAGAAGAACTTTATAAATTATTATAGAAATGTTGCGAGAGATTAACACAAGACTTAGAAGAAGAATTGAAAAGTTGAAGGGTATTAAGACTCATGTAATGGAGGATTTCGAAAAAAATCCTATTTGACCAATGGTGCAAGGCTTATTTTAGACTCGATGTAAAGAGTGATGTGTTGGATAATAATATATCTAAGACTTTTAAAGGGGTCGTAATCGTAACATCTTTTTCCTACATTCATTTTGATAGCATGTGCACTAGTATTCATAAACATAATTAAAAGTTAAATTGCATTGTTTATAAGAAGATTAAAGTATAATGTCTATTAAGTGAAGTCATGGTATGACATTAAGTTTTGTGTTTAAGGGATTGAGTAGCAATTAATGAAAGTAAAGGGGGTTAAAATAAAAATGGATAAAGTCTTCTAGGTATAAAATTGAAACTCATAGCATTAAGATAAAGTGTTGAAATGTCCACTATGTGTTGGTTGTCTCCTAATTATGCCACCTTATGCTTGTTAATAAACATGATAAGGATCATTACTATTAAAAGAAAGAGAGAGATGGTTTGGAATAGATTTTTGATGTCCTAAAATTGAGAAAAAATAAGAGAGACAAGGGAAAGAAATGGAAAAAGAGAGAGAAAGTGAAAACTTATTTTCTTGTCCAAAATTGCATGACTTTCATATGTTCAAGCTTGGATGCTAGGTTTGTACATCTTTAAGCATTGTCTTACACCTCTGATTTCTAGAATTTAAGGTTAGAATTAGATAAAGTTGTAAACATAAAGTTGTTTTTTATATCTCTCATCTAAGTCCCTATAGAAGGGCTTTACCACTAGTTATGTGTTTTATGAGTTATAGGCTGTTTGAGTGTGGACTGTCTTATATGGCCTAGTGCTAAATAGAATGGTATTTACAATTATGCCTTCAATGGTGTGCTTGGTATTTGAATCTAATTTTTGGATATATTGTACCATTTTATCCTTTCTAAGTACTTGTAAAATTTTAAGGCTAATGACCTTATAAATTTTGAGTTATAGCTAAGTTAATAAGGATTGTCCGGGAGTTTTAAAGCTAAAACAAATTAAATTTTGAAATTGCATAATAAATTCCACATTTGGATTTTTGATGTAATTTTTAAATGTCTTTTAGGTCAGTGTGTTTATGTACTACTCATAAGACGATAAGTTTTATTATGTCCAGAACTTAAGTTATTATTGCTTGTTTATTCGCTACTCTAAAATAAATATGCGCAAAACGTAGCAATTTTTGAAAAATAAGCATAAATTGTGTGAATGGAATTTTGGCATGAAACCATAGTAAATATAGCTAGATAGTGCATACTTACTCTCTAATACCATAAATAGAGTA